GATCATAAATGTTCTGTTTTGGTTAGCAAGAACCCAGCAAATTCATTTAGATTCTATAATAAGAATGATTTATTTCTGTGGCAGAGTATACAAGAGCTTCACTTACGGAAGAAGAAAGAAGACTTAGCAACATAGCTTCTTTTTCTTTTGTGAGGGGAATTAGCAATATGGCTGTGTGTTTTATTTTACATTTAAATTTTTGTTCATGACATATTTTCTTATTTTTGGCTGTGATTTTTTGGATTTGTCTTTTTCAAGTAGGCTATTCTTTAGGAAGCAGTTAACCAAGCCGTAAAAAGCTGATATGCAAAAAAAGAAGTATGCAAAAAAATTTCAAGAAGGTTTGAGTATCTTTTACTCAAGAAATTGTTGGGTTTGACAATAGGACACAAAAGGAAGATGTTTGAAAAGCATTCTGTTGTTCCCTGCTGTGATTTCTCAGTTTAGGGTCCTATAACCATCTAGGGGTTGAGTTGAACTTACCAATTTGAAGATACAGCAATTGAATCCTTATTGAACCGAAGTAGGATGATGGTACCTACGAGAGGCAGCAAGATTGGCTGCAATTGCTGCGAAATTGTAGTTGACAGAGCTTTTGGAGGAGTTTCCCTGAGATCTTTTCCCTGTTAAATTAGAAGCCAGATGCGAATTGGGGAAGGCAGTCTGAGTAGAAAATGGTGCGGAAGAAAGGTCGAAGGGTTGGAAACAATGACATTTTTCCACTGAGACCAATAGGAGAGGGAGCAAGACTGGCTGCAACTGCTGTAAAATAGGGGTTGGTCGGGCTCTTGGAGGAGTTTTGCTCCAATATTTTCACTGTTTGATTAGAAGGCAGACAGATCGAATTGGGGAAAGGAAGTGTAAGTAAGGGGACTGTGCAGGAGTTCAGGGGTTGCGAACCATGATGTTCTTTTTTATTTAAATATTTGGGATTAGATTTTTCAAGATACTATGGGATAATAGGTTATTTAGGATAGGAGTAAGAAACATGATGATGTTTCATATGCTCCACTTAAATAGGCTATTTAATGTTGTGTTTGTGTGTTAATGTGCTTGCATTTTTTATTTTCAGCTGTGGTTAGTTATTAGTGTCGATTTTTTCTTGTTCAGATATGTTATGATTTAGGAAGCAGTAAATTCTTCTTTTCCGTAAACCATAAAGGTTGATATGCAAGAAGAGATGAAGTATGTAGAGCATTTCAGTCAATTTTGTATATTTTTTCTTACTCAAGAGATTTCTGGATTTTCTTTGACGAGATCAAACAATTTCGATTCAATAGGACAAAAGGGAAATGTTCACAGAAGCATGTGCAGTTTCCTATCCTAATTTCTCAGTTCAGGATCCTATAACTATACATAAGGATTGGAAACTTACACACCTGTTTTCTCCATCACAGACTCCTATATCTTTTTTT